ACTCCTGGGGCGTTATATGAGTAGGTGAATCGACATATTCATTTATCGCCAAGTTAAAATCTGTGCTTGTAGAAGGTTGCTGTTGGGAAGGAGTTCTATGTGTTTCGGTGCCAATAGGTGCCGGATCTATGACTACTGTTGCGTTTATATTTTCTGTTATTGGCCTATTTGTTACCTCCGCAGGCAAGAATTCATCATCTTGAAAAATTTCTCTGTTATATGGCCAAATTCCTGTCACACTAAATCCTTTTTGTATATTGAGAGGTGTAACAGCAAGAGGAAATGAATCTTTAAGAACGAAGTGTCCGGACTGATAGAGTTCAATGCCTATATATCGTAAATTTTCATTACTTTACCATTCAAGGAAGAAGATCTGTTGGCCGAAGGCAGAACTCATGGTCAAAGAATCTACGTGATTGGTACCAATGCAGATCGATTGATTTGTTTAGAGCAGCAAGTTCTAAAATAAAAATAGCCATTATGATTGCCAACCTCCGTAGGGAGACGGCACTCTAAGAAGAAGACCGGGATTAAATCTTAACCATGCATCTGCAGCACTATTAAAATATCTTTTAAGTGGGCCAAGTGCCGTCCTATCAAGCGGCTGCAACTTGTGTGATGTATGTGGCGGGAAACTTAAAAGAACCACTCCATTTTCTTTGCAAAAATTCAACACCGGAATAGACAAATGAGACTCGTGATTATCTAATACCATCAAAACGGGTTTCTCTTTGCTACATCGTACAAACTGGACGAAATGTTTCATAAACAACAAAAAGTTATCACATGTCATCCATCCAGAGGAATGAGACGCACCTACACAACCAGGAGGTCCATTTTCTACCATAACATCTTTGAATTTCTTTCTCGGAAATATTAAAAATTTAGGTACAAAATTTCCAGTTGCGTTGACAGCTAATGTCAAGGTAACAAGTTGACCTCTTTCTCCAGATGTGGTAGCACCTACCTGCTTAGTTCCCCTTTTTGCAATGATTTTTGTAGGCCTTTGGACGGTTGTAAGTCCAGTTTCGTCCATATTGTACACTTCTTGGAGCTCAAATTTATAATTATCATAAACTTCGCCGAGATTGTTAAAAAGTTGTGACACATTATGACGATTAAACGCGGTAGCTCGACCCATACTAGTAGCTTCAGGTGTCCGGACTGATAGAGTTCAATGCCTCTTCAAAAATCCATATAGCCAGTCTCTGGAAGCTATTTCATTAACCTTCCAATTTTCCGGAACAGATATTTGGTTGGCTGTTGCATATTGAAATGCAAATTTTCTCAAATCAGAAGTTGTAAGACCGTAATAAATTTTAGCAGAATGCTCAGTATATTCGGCAAGTTCCTCTTCTTTAGCATTGTTAAATATTTTTCTGGCCGTAGCGTAGCCGACTAAGTTCTTGTTACTGTTTTCAGCACCTAAGTTTAATTTTCTTTTCAGATAGCGGTGCAATGTCATAAAATTAACTTAATAGCGAGTAGCAGCATCCCTAATTGACAAGTGTTCTTGTAAAACCGATTGCGCCGCCCTTTCAAATTGTTCGCCCTTGTGGTTTTCTTGGTATACGTTCGCACCATGTTAAGCTATCTGAAAACAACCAAAACAATTTTATGATAGAAAAATTTAATAAAACCTAATCTGTGTTTCTAACATGCTTTGCGAAAATAAATGTAGGTAGGTATGCTATTCATTACAAACAAATTACTATCTACAAAATATGTCTGATCATAATATTGGATTTTTAGTGAAATCATAAATTATGGTAACCATATTGTAACCATTGTAGGTATTTCGATATATTCGTACATTAACGTGTTCGGGGCAAGATGTTACAGTAACAACCTGGCCCCAGATTATTGTAACAACTGGCCCCACGTGTACGAAATGAAGTTAAGTCAACGTTTTTTGGTAAATATTGAGAATCAATTACTAACAATAGCATGCCAATAACGAGAAATATATACGCTTCAACACTATATAATACACATATTTATACTACTTACCAATTTTTCACAAATAAAAACAAAAGCCACCTGACAACGGTACAGTTTTAGACCCGAAACCACATTCTAAGCAATAACACTATGATGGATGTCTGAGTTGAGTATCAATATCCGTTCACAGATTCTTTCACAACTTTCCATAAAATATCGGCAACTGATGATACTTGCTGCATTTTAAAATAATTGTGTAACAAAATTTGCCCGTGTAACGACTTGCCCCCCTCTCCCCTAATATTAAATAGACAGTAAAATAAATCATCATCATAATCATTGGCTGCACAACCGAGATTAGACGCTGGCCTATTTAATTAATTCTCTACATTCACTGCTATTGCTGACTTTCGTTTTCCAGTTTCTAGTTTTAATTTCTCTTAAGTCCTGTCATCATCATCATTAGCATCACAGCTTGTTCTAAATCAAAGCTTTCTTCAGAACAATCCTCCAATCACACGTGTCTCTGGCAACTCTTCTTCATACTCAAACTCCAATAAATTTTAAATCGTCTCCTAGGTTGTTTTGACACCTAAGTCTTGGTCTTTCTCTGGCTCGTTGCCTCATCAGCCTTCTTTGGCTAAAAACTTTTTTGACTGTTGTACTTTCCTTTCGCCTGTTTGCTTGTTCTGTCCATCTAAGGCGTACTACCTTACAGAATTTTACAACGTCAGGTTCCCCGAGACTTCTACACAACTTAAAGTAGCAACGCCTGCACCACAAACCTTGTTTTTTTTATTCATCTATATATTTTTCTTAGGATTTTACCACAGAAACGTTTAAATAGTTCTTGGTTCTTCTGTGTAGTTAACCACGTATTTGCTCCATATATTAGCATTGGTCTTATTAGTGTTTTATAGGTGGTTAAGCCATAGCAACACTTATTGGCAAGCACTATTTCTTTTCTGACGCTGTTATATTTAGTCAGGAGCGGGCCTAAGTATGTACTCCATGTAGAGTATGATTGCACGATAGAAATCTATGATTTCAAAAAGTTTTGCATATGGTGCATACTTAATTTTACACACTGTAAATAAAAGATTTCTAGTTGGAGTGTGGCTCCAAATATGGACCCACTAAACTTCTACAATATGACTTAGATTAAAATGTATTTATACGTCTATATGCAAATAGGAAAAAAATATTGTAATATCAAATATCGTTACCTCTACTGAAGGTTTAGGTTGAAAGACTGATGGTACAAGGTTTTTATAAAACTCGAGTCGAATGCTTACAGCTGCAGATATTTTGTCTATCGGATTCAAATTTAAACTAGCAGGAACTATATCCAAAGGTTTCAGATCTAGATTGGTAGCCACAGCAGTAAAGAATGCTACAACAAAGTCCAATTATATAATTAAACCTAGAGCTAATATTAATACTATTACAAGAATTAATATACTGAGAGCCCGGAAGTGCTGAAGAGGACATCAAACAGGATATCCAAACCTCGGCGCAATGAAAATCGACGCGGTTCAACCCGAAAGACTGTTGAGATTAATAACTATTCTTAATATAGTATTAATCTTAGCTCTAGGTTGATCTCTCTCTCTTCAATCCTGACCCCCCAGGGGGAGTGTAGTGGTCGACGTGATGTCGTGTATTGTCCGTCTCCAGAGATCTCTGTCTCTGGTCATTTCTTTTAATTCATGCATAGGTCTTTGGCATATTCCTGTAATTTGATCTATCCATCTTGTTGGGGATCTTCCTCGTGATCTTCGGCCTTCTACCTTTCCTTGTATTATGAGTCTTTCCATGTTTTCTGTGTTTGCTCTCATAACATGCCCAAAATATTTTAATTGTTGGAGATGGACTTTACTAGAGTGTCGTTGGCTAACTTTTATCTCTCTTAAAATTGAATTATTTGTTCTGCGATCGGTTCAAAGAATTCGTAACATTCGTCTCTAACAGAACATTTCAGTGGCGTCTATCTTTCTTCTCTCCGATTGTCTCAGAGTCCAAGATTCACATCCGTAGGTCATTATTGGGAATATTAAGCAGTTGATCAACCTCATCTTTATCGCTCTTGAAATTTGACAGTCCTTCCATATTTTGGTCATTTTTGCTGTGGCAACTTTTGCTAGATCACATCTACGTTTAATATCTTCTTGTAATGACCCTGTGTTTGTGATTAATGATCCCAGATATAAGTATGAGCTCACAACCTCGAACCGGTCAATTGTGGTTATGTGTGGATGATTGTTGTGTAGTCTATCCACTATCATGAACTTTGTCTTTGATATGTTTAATTGCAGACCAATTATTTGACTTTCGTTTTCGATCAGTCGTATAAGTTCTATCAGCTCTGCTTGACTATTTGCAAGAAGGGCTGTGTCATCTGCGAAACGTAGGTTGTTTAGTTTATGACCATTTATTGAGATGCCCTTTTCCCATCCTTCAAGTGCTCTTCGCATAATATACTCCCCATATATGTTGAATAATTGTGGAGATAGTATACCTCCTTGTCTGACACCCCGTTCTGGATGAAATTCGTTCGAAAGTGTGTCAAGTACTTTAACTGATCCAGTAGTGTGATATAGTTCGGTTATAAGCGTAATTAGATGTTGTGGTACGCCTACTTTTTTTAGTATTCGCCATAAAGTGTCTCCACTTGACCCTGTCGAACGCTTTACGGTAATCTATAAAACAGATGTATAGTGGGATGTTGAATTCCCTAGATTTCTCGATTATCTGTCTTATATTCAGCAGGTGTTCTCGAGTGCCTCTAGGTTGATATATAAGGTCTATTTATAATACGGTTTATTACAGAACTCATTACGATCCTGTAATATCTTGAAAATTTTACCTGGCCTTCTATCAATAGTTTATTCGCGATATTTTACTCTAATTTTCTGTTGAAGGCGCTCACTCGGCATTCTAGACTTCGCTGGAGATATCTAGAACATCTGTTCGTGTATAAAAACAGTGTGCTTTCATAAAGTCTTAAAAATAAATATAATTATATTATTAATCAGATCGATCCAACACGTTGGACTTACCAGCATTGTTAGGATCAGCAACACCTGCAAGTTCATTTGAAGTAAAACCTGCTAAAATAGGAACTTGTTGGAAGTTTCCACTAGCAAACAATTCATCTGCTCTTCCAGTGTAAAATGCAGCTGCATGAGGTATTTCTTCCACGACTCCAAATTGTATGCCGGCTAGAAAATTACTGAGTGTACTCTAAAAATAAATAAAATTTCTATGAATTCTTAATTATTTTTAGTCTAGGGGCCAGGAAAGGTTGAGTAGTCACTTTTATGTCTGCCCGGTACCTTGACTTTTTTTGCGTAGATTAGATTTTTTGAGGGTACCAAGTTAAAAACCCTTGTTTAGATTATTATATCTCATAAACTATTAGCCATATTTAATTTTATCAAAAAAAAAATTAATTGATATAATGTAACAATAAAACACTGAAAACTTTGTTTTCAAACTTCCACAAAATTTATTTTAAATTCTTATCGCTACAGCTGTTTCGGCTGATTGCCTTTCCCAAGTGATCTATTTTTGGCATGCGTTTACACTTTATAGTCTTTAATCAAATAGGTTGAGGAGGGGAGAACTGTTTGCCTCAAGTTGGTCATTCAGAATTATATCTGTGTTTTTTAATTTGTTGATTTCCATAGATTCTAACAAAGATAGCTTAAGGCTTTTATTTTGAATGTGAAGAATTTTAAATTCGTTATTAAAAGAATGATTAGGATCTAGAAGGTGAAGTGCGTATGTAGAATCTGTTTTTCTATTACTGAAAGCCCTTTTATGTTCTGCTATTTATTTATTAAAATTTCTACCCCTATGACCGATGTAAGTTTTTGGACAGTCGCCACATTTAAATTTGTCCATCATCAACCTACGATAAACATATATAAGGAATAGCTATATTAGTAACGGACAAAATGGCGCAGTCAGTCACAGACTTCACCCCTTTAAATGATAAAATAGCAATGTTTAAATTACGAAAAATCCATAGAAACTTTAATATTATTTAGGTCCACGCTCCAACAAGTTACAAGTCAGAGCAAGAACTCGAAAATCAACAATGCAAACTAAAAAATTACTTACCAAACCAGATACAATAAACGCTTTTGTTTGAAGCTGTAGGAAAGGAATATTTTTTAGACTTTCTATTAGCTTATTTGAATCAGTGGTTACGATTCCTAAACTTTTCCCAATATCATAAGCTATCTTAACAGCATTTCTGTTTAATGACCACAGACATTGTGGAACTCCACTATTTAAAAACGCTCCTTTAAATTTTCCTAAAAGATAATATTCGAATAGCAAAAGGTTGTGATATAAAACAAGAACAAAAAATAATTATCATACTTGAACGCTAATAAATCTGTTATTTATCTTTAAAAGAAATGGTATTTGGACAAGTGATATAAATTAAGAGTCGAGTTCGTTTAAAGTGTTTCCCCATATTTGCTTTAATATTATATGAAAAACTAATTAATACTGACCTCGTGATTTCGGAGATAGCAAATGGTATCCAACCGCTGCAGCGCCAGCGCTTAATCCCCCGATGGTAACATTGTTAGGATTCCCTCCAAAATATTGGATATTTCTTTGTGTCCAGTCCAGAGCCAATACTTGATCTTTCATTCCCAGATTCCCAGGGCAAACATAATCTCCTGTGCTTAAGAAACCAAAAACTCCCAATCTGTATTGAATTAAAACGACGACCAAATTCTGATCCAGGAAATAATCAGGACCGTTTTGTAAATATGAACCATTTCCTCCTACGAAACCTCCTCCGTGAATCCAAAATAATACGGCTGCATTACCAGTTATCTTTAAATATATATGTATTTATTAAATAATCTTATTTCACTAGAAAAAAAGAAGTGCCATCGTCAAGTGTACTCTGCGATGGTGAACAACCAGCAAACTACAAAGGTTGTAAGGAGCTACAAAAGGTAAAATTTACAATGATTAGACCCAAGCTAAGCATGGCAATTACTCATGCACAACATGTTCAAGCTGGCGTTACCTCGTTCAAATAGTTAATTACTCACAAGAAATTAAGACTAGTAAAACGAATCAAACAGAAGTACCTACTACCACTACTGCAGTCTCAAATAACATGGCTGATCTAAAAAATATGTTAAAAGTCCCGATGAAACAAATAGGTACAATATTAAATCTTTTCATTACCGTCGTCACTAAATTTACAAAATAATCAATTCCTTAAATGCCACCGGGCTAATCATGCTCAAGAGGTTAAAGCCTTTATATTATTACACCAAAATGACATAATGTTAATTTCTGAAACACACTTTCCAAATAGAGGTTACATGTAAATTTAAAATGACGTAATATATAATATATATAACACCAAATATCCAAACGGATATTTGGCTGCACATAGAGGAGCTGTAATCATAATCAAGTCAATGATAAAACACCATGAAGTATTACCATAGAAGACTGGAACGATCCCTTAATAATACCTGCAATATATAGTCCACCACGATATACCATAGCCAAAAAGCAATATACAGAATTCTTCTACACACTTGGAAACAGGTTACTAGTAGGCGGTGATTGTAAGGCAAATACACTTACTAGGGATTCAGGCTATCCAGAACCTTCGTCATATCTAAGTAATAAATATATCATTTGGATTATATTCGTGGCTATTCTTAATAACTACGATCTAAATATCCCACTAATATTTGATGCCGATATTGATGAAGCAGTACATTAACTAAAAGGGAAAAAGTCTAGAAAAAATATAGCAAAGAACCCTTGCACCCCAGGATGAAAATAGATTAAAACAATCCATAGCAAAACTTTGTTAAATAATAATAAAAACAATGACAAAACAATATTTACAAAGTCTATCTGCCACGGAAACCTCCTAATACTCGCTATGGAAGGCAAATCTATCTACCACACAAACCTACGAATACTTGCTAAGGAAGGTAACACAAGAGATTGCCCGGAACATCCTGAAGGGATTTCAATCTAAGACCTTCCACATTATTACACATACACCATAGTACATGCCCAATGAATACAGACAGATTAGAAAGACAAGGTTACAGAGTCAATATAAATATATTAGGTGTAACCAGTTGTCAATATAAATATATTGACAACCAGCACAGACGTGGAGTAGAAATTATGGTCGATACAGAGGACAACAAGTCCTCTTGTCATCGAGGACACACACAAAACGACATCACATATCACGACAAAAGATTTGATTCAAGTATAGGCGCCAACGACAGATGCAACAGAAAATGGAGTAGAAACATTCTACCAACAAATTAAAGATGCACTGAAAATGACAAAGAATAGGGAAATCACAGCTATTTCAATGCAAAAGTCAGCAAAGGAAGAGCTGAAACAATAATGTGATGTCAAGGACTAGGGAAACGTAACGATAGAGGAGATCGTCTAATACAATTCTGCCAAGAGCAAACTCAAATAATTACAAACATGTTCTTTAAATTACTATGAGACGGTTATATACATGGCACTTACCCAGCAGATAAACCGGAAAAAGTGATAAGAAACCAAATCGATTATATAATGACTAAAGAGAGATATCGTAACACCATCAAATCAGTTAAAATATATCCAGGAGCAAATGCCACATCAGACCATAACCCACTAATCGTTATTGTTAGGCTTAAGCTTAAACGTATTAGAAAACCCCAAAGAACTAGAATTAGAACTAAAAAATTTGATGTTAGAAAACTAAAAGAAGCTGATATAAAAAACAAACTCCAACAGAAAATATACGAAAACTTTGATAAATTAGATACTAAGACGTACAAGATAAACCAAAAAACAACGATGGGAAACACTAAAAAACTGCCTTCTCGTTCCATCCAAAGAGAAATTAAAAGAACTGATACTAATGAGAGACAAAAGACAAAATAAACAAAGAACGTATGTTCTCTGTTGTATTTAGTTTATTAATCATTAAGACACACAAGTTGCATCAGTCTGCGATACATATAGAATACCTTCCCTTCGAGAATTAATTACGTTTTATGAAAATAAATATTATTAACAAATTTTTTCTACGTCTTATTCAATATTATTATTATTTTTATTTTGTTTTCGTGGTAAATAAGTTTATCACACACGTATACACACAACCACGGAACATATCTATTAACGTTATTTTCAGATCCCAACTAAATTTTAAATACGGCAACTACGCACTTGTGACACCCGCGATTAAGTACCTCTCCTATCTCTCTTAGAATAATTCCTTTTCTATTTTCGCGCAGCTCACCCGCCAGCTCTCGCTTGTCGGATAATACAGTAAGTTAAATAATTTTAACGGTTTATTTACAGCAAAAAGCTTCTCTATTACTTTAATTATAATATCTACATGTATAAATTTTATTATTTTTACTTACATTTCGAGAGTAAACAGACAAGTACAAACAGTCCTCAGAGCCCGTAATCGGGTTTAGTCCTTGGACGCATTCGTCTCTATCATAAGTACAGTTTAAAGTATTATTCCAAGGCATTTTTTGCACTGGCTCCTAAAATGTAAAGGATATTAAAACTAAAAACTCTATCAAGCTAAAAATTATGACCTAAAGCAGCTACATTTTTCACCTATTTTATTTCGATAGTGTCTAACAGTGGAAACTTATAACTTATGACTATAGTTCTGAGCAGCGGTTCTAATTTATATAAACTATTTATTTAAAGTTGACTGTACAGTATTCTCTTATCAACTAACTTCTAATAACAACGCTCATGATTATATTGTAAATAATTATTTCTAGAATTATCTAGAGTAGTCCACCTTTATTCCTGCTCGTATGACAATACTTTACCCAATAACATATTTTATACAGTTCAAAAACAAACCTCTAAAATAATGACCCTCTCTATCGCTTCTTTTGTTTATGGTTAAAGATAAATAATATGTTCTACTGTACTGTATTACATAAAATACTTGTCAGATCAGTCAGTTCAGTATTTTGCTTTTATCTCAGCTTAGGAATAAAACAGAGGTTCGTTGTGGTGATTTTACTGCCTCCAAGTATATAATCAGTAAAATTATACTTTAAGTCAAAAATTTATACTTCTTTTAAATAAAGTAATTTTTAGTAAATAAACAGAAAATTTTAAAAGAAAAAAGGAATTATTATGTTGGAACCATGGACGTATAAACACAGATGGACTCAGTTATTTACATAAATTTGTGAAGTCAAAATTATTTGAATAGGTCACATTCTCAGCACCTTCAACAGTTGTCACGTTTTGTTTTAAAATTTCTTATTCGGAGTCGCTGAAAATATTACTCCGTATTTTATATTCTACAGGTACTATCAAACCAAAATAATAATTTTTTGGTTATATTAATATATTTAATTGTAATCAAAATATCAAGTGTGCATATAGTGTGCATTATCATTTAATAATAGCGTATAATAGATTTCAATCAATTATTTTATATGTAGAAGCACTGAAAACTATTTATAAATGGCAACAGTTGTTTACATTTCTCTGTCTTATGGATCTACGTCAAACTTCAAATGCTGTTCCATGTTTGTTTACGTTTTACAGTAAATGAGGAAAAAGTTATTTTTCGATATTTTGGCTGTATTTTGAGTGATATTTGTAAAAAGTATTTATTTAAGATGAAGAAATGAGGAAGCGTGTTTGTTTACATTTTAATAGGCGTACCATTGGGTTTATTTATGTTCATTAATGTATTGAATAAGATATGAGTTCATGAAATTAGTAGACATTTATAAATTGTAAGTAGACATCATCTAATTGAAAAAGATCTGTTTAGTACCTTTTTAATTTAATATTTCTCAAGGATACAAATAAATTAGTGAAATGATTTTTCATTTATTTTTCTATGTAGGTTTCCAAATAATATTGACGATCGAACTATTTGGGTAGCAAATTAAGGAGAAAACATAAAAAATTTTTATTGTAGCATTATTTTGATACTATTAAAAAATTAACTTGAATTCAACTATATTGAATTGTATTAATTTTAAAGCAAATAAAATTGTATTTTAATTTTTCAATACGTGATTTGTTAATAGTTAAACTCTCGGTTTTTTTTTTAAATTCTTTGAACGTGTTTTTATACATTATTACTACTTCCAATTTTTAAAATCTGAATAATTACCCGCGAGTAAAAATTCAAGCACGCTTATGCTCATTGCGGAAGCATCACATTCTATCGAAGCTTCAAAACATTCTGTGAAAGGTATCTTATTGCTGTGTCCATCTATGTTTATACCTCCATGGCTGGAACCGTAATCTCAGTTTTAAGAAAACAACATCGCGCAAAACTGAAACGCCAAACGACAAGCGTTCCGCAGCAAGAATACGAATAGTCAGCAATGTCGGTGTATGATAGGAGACGACAACAGAGATGGCTCGGCGTAGGATTGGTGACGCGACGGACATTTATGGCCTGTGGCATTCACAAGACAGTCCATTCCCCTGCCATAAAGTCGTCCGGCTGTCTGATGGTAGTCGGATCGAAAGGCTCCGTCACAGGTATATTCAAGCATTGATATGCGCGATATAGAGTTGTGCAAGTATTTGCTGAATTATAGTAATGCTTGAGCTTCATTAGGCAAAAACAGTGCCTAAGATAAAACATATTTTATCTTAATGTATTTCTATTTATTTATGTATTTTGGTTTTACCCACCTGAAACCTATGCGGTTTTTCTGCATATGGAATTCCTTGAAATGCGTAATATGTATTTTGTAGTTCCTCTGTAAGAAATGTCTGTCCTAAAATTTTTCCCTCTTCTGTGTTAAGTTCAATGAACTGTAAAATTATAAATAGTATTAACATATTACCTATAAAAAGATAGAATGAAAGATGAAATGGACCAATTACATTCAAAAACTATTTATTTAATAAGGACCAACAGAAAATTTGTTTCCCCCCTTTTTCCCAGATGGCGAAAGAGGACAGAAGAATGGTTTCAAAGAAGGAGAACAGAAAAGTTTTAAAAGACTAAACAAATATATGGGTGGGGTAGATAAGGTGAAGAGATGTGCTGAAGAGTCTACACGAAATAAATAGAAAAAGTAGGAAATGGTGTCATCGCAATTTTTTTTCATTTATTTGATTTAGCAGTAACCAATGCGTTTATCATATTTAAATGTAGAAGTCCAGGATGTGCATTATCATTGAAAGAATTTCGATTAGCCGTTGTTACAGGTCTTATTGGTGCTAATACAGATATCCCAAAAAGGGACCAAAACATGCAGTCAATAGTTTCAAAAAATATGTACCTATTGCAGTTAGATACGATAGACTGGTTCATTTTCCTCTTCATGTAACATCAAGAAGATGTGGGTTATGCAGTTACAACCTCAAAGGTTCATCGGACTCGTTGGTTTTGTCAAACATGCGATATTGGTCTGTGTTTATATGACAATAAAAATTGTTTCCAAAAATTCCATACCCTTGAATAAGTGACTTTTGTGTCCCAGTGGTTTCACGGTGAAACCATACTTTTTTTGTGAAAACCATACCTTTTGGTGAAAAAGTGTTTATTTAACTAATTAAGTTTTCGAAATTTCTTTTATTTTAGAAAAAATAAAAAGAAAAAAAAAAACAATGTGGACCGCAAAGGGTTAAATGGACTAAAAATAATAGAAAGATATATTATTATAGAAACCGAAGCGTATAGGATGGACTACCCTGTATTATTGCAGTAACAACGTTGATCAAAAAATTTTATTTGAAAATTAATAAAACATGTATCGAAAGGACACTAAAAATAACTCAATAAAATAACTTTATTGGATGTTTATTTAGTCACAAATTTCAATGACAGTTGTAACTGTCAAAAATGTCATATACAAAAATCATGCGAAGTAAAATAATAATACTTACCTCAGCTTTTACAATTAACGTAAAAAAACACAGTCTCACAAATCCCCAAACCATAATTTTAGCCTCGTATTAAGGACAATAAGAACTGTGTATATCAAGTTAAATAGTTTGTTTTTATATAAATTGTTTTAATGTGTGCTAATTGTATGAAAAGTATATCAAAGAAACCTAAAATTGTATAAAAGCATAATATCTTTATTTATACCAGTTTTAACAAGGTGTTTTCCAACACAAAATAGTTTCGTATGCACTAATATGTTAAAAATATAAAAATAAACAGTTGAATTAATATTTTGAAAGAAATTTGTTAAACTTTTGATACATAACCATAAATTAGAATTGTTTTGTTTAAAAGTTAACCTGTGTTGAAAAATTTAGATAATTTTCATTTTAATAATAATTTAAATTCCCATAAGTGTCCCCAACCTCTGAAGCTCATTTTAAATCGTTACAAATAGCGCCATTGTAAATTTTATTAATATTATTTGTAATGACTGTTGATGTGAAGTAATAATGCATATCTAATGTTTCTCTCTATACCAGGAGTTGTAGAATTATTTCCTTTCCAGCTCTCCAACCAAACCAAGAGTGGCCATTCGCAACCATTTCGGTTTGTTTGCTTACCCTATCTCCAGCCCAAGAATTGCTCAGTCCCTACTTTCAACACCCTATAAGTAATACCCAATGTGGTAGGCAAATTATATCGTTACAACAAATATGAAGCAAACGGAAATGCAACGAAAAAAGGGGCCACCAACTCACAAAGCAAAATTCTCAAAAAACGGAGAGAAAGCAGGGGAAAAAAACCTGACTTCTACTTGTATAAAATGAGTAAATGATAAATTTCAGTAAAATGGTGAATATAAATAAGTCTATTCATAGTTAAAGGCTATTTGAGAATGTGACATATCTTAAGGAAAGTTCTTTTGAAGTAATTATTTTCAGTGTCTAAAATCTCTACTCTCAAAATATCACGTCCTTTTAAGCCTCGGCCAAAACGAGTTTATCCAATGTAGGACAATACATACAATCCAGAGAAGCCTTGGAAATGTTGTCAGTAAATTGTGTAAAAAATAGTAAAGAACAATAAATGTTAGATTAGGGGAGAACCCTGAGAGATAGCGACTATTTGAATGTAATAATAAAGCATCCGATTCTCCAAAATCAACCAAAGTTAGAGAATATCTCTGATATGAAACTGTCAACAAATACTTATTAACGAGACGTAGAGGATATGAGTTTTGTAACAGAATATGCTTTAACAATAAAAGAGAAGCCGTTCTGTGAAGAGCATGTGTTAGCCTCTGAACTCTAAAATTAAGATATTTGAGTAGGTTATGTTTGAATCCAGTAGGACGGCACGAGTAGTAATTCAAAAAGCAATTACTAGCCATATCTTTTCTATATCAGGAGGTTATTAGGGCAATATAATCTCCATATATTCCCTGCTATATCTTCTCTGTTGGTTCTAAGGGTTCCTGTGTGGTCTTTAACAGACTTAAAGTTTTGGCTTTAGACTCTTTTGTTGTATATTGTATTTTTCTAAATAGATCTTTTGGTTGATTGGTTTGATTGTGGCTCTCAATTGCTTTGCATATATTGTTGTTTATCAGTCTTGCATCTTCGATTTATTCCTTTGTTGAGGTCTCTTAAACTGGCTTTTTCCATTTCACTATATAAACCACCTTGGCAAAGATGTCTTCTAATCTCAATTATTTTAAGAGTGTTTAATCTGTTATCCAGTGTTTTTTACCTTCGGGCGATTAATTGGTTTTCTTACACAATATTTATTAGTCACATTTCACATTTCTTGTAATGTACCCTTACCAATAGAGGGCATACTTTTTTGTACTTCTTGGAGAAAATCGTCTTTCTTTCTTAGTTCCATCTTCGTTGTTGCTCTCCGTTTGTTGTGCGCTTTAAACTTGAGCTTTACTTTAGCTGCAAAGAGAGTATGATCTGATCTGATGGCTTGGATTAACGATCTCCAGCGAATATTAGTGAGTATGTACATAGCGATCATACTAATCAAGAAGATTACAAGACAAGATTACAGACAAGAAGAGATGAATATTATAACGAAAATTGGAAGTATATGGGACTAGAACAAGAAAAAGAAATTTCCAGGTAATTTTAATTTTAATTAAATTGTAAGCTCCCTGTAGAATATAATGTCTTTTTTACCCTTGATTTCCCTTAACATGACAATATATTACTGAACTTATTAGTGTATGTATAGATATTTAAATCTAAAACATGCGCTATTAAGTAACATGTACATTCGGTATTGCCCATGTAGTTTAATAAGTCTTAATCAATTATTTTAATTAACTATATTTAAATGTTTTGGAATATATTATTTTAGCTTGATATAATTTAATTATGTAGGTTAAATTTATCATATTTAATTTTTGAGAACAAATCTAAAATAAATTTCAATAATAGAAATAACTGACCCCCCTCCCCCCATTTTTTTGTATTTCTGCAAAAATTTTATGGCTTTCAACAAAGTAACATACATCTATTTAGGTATAATATACAAAAATGGTTCTCTATTTCTCTTGGTCTTCCGACTTCCTCATCTTTTTTACTTTTTAGAAGGTTTTTGTAAAAAGAAAATTACGCACAAAATTTCACAAAACTTTATTTCAACTTCGCTTATTTAACTTGCAGAAATGGGACAGATTCAGATTTTGATTCATACAGGACATGAAGTATGGTATTTTTAAATTAGCTTACTTTAAAACTACTATTATTAAAATAATCAGTACTGTTATGCATTTACATAAACCCAATGTAATTAATGTAGATTTTCGTTCACGTCATTTGTATTCATTAACACAGCTTTTGTTTCTATATTTAAAAATCTAAAATATATAATTTTTTACATTTACAATACGACTACATTACTGTCAAGCCTGCCGAACTTATTTCCAACAATTGACAATTCAGAAATTGAGTCAGTAGTTTTATTTATCGAAGATATGGGTTAATTATACACAGGTGTTTAGATACAAACACGGTAAAAATAGACTAGACATGTTAAAAATTAAATTTAGTTAACAAATAAAAGGATTTTATAGGTCATTGGCATTATTCAGAATTCTTAATTGTTTACAACGAAAATTAGAATGTACTGTTTTAGATTTACTGGTTTTAATGCATTCACATAACAATTTTATAGTCCTTTTCCATCATATTGATAGCACATTATGTATGCAAATCTTAACAGGTCAAAAAACCATAGGCGTCACCCTATACTTATGTTTTCAAATAAATAAAAAAATTAATTTTTAAGATGATGTCAACAATTCATTACTTTTAAAAAATCTTCTGTAAAATAAGTGTCTACTAATCTCACTATACCTTTTTTGTGCGTAAAAAATGTCGGTATATATGCCACACGATTATTGTTAATTATACACGGGTGATTAACGAGAGAATTCAATGCTTTACGAAATAAATTAATCTAAATAGTAATTTAAAGGTGATTATTGTTTTCTATACAAGTTATCGCCTGACACAAAAAGAATACTTCTTTGAACGATTACCTGGAATTACTGACAAGGCTTCACTAATGATAGTTTAAGTAGTTTTTATGCCACATTACAGCTTATGCAAATAATATAAATTAGAAATTGTTTGCATCTTCCATTTAGTTTGTAGATGTACATTGTTCATGTCTTACCTACCTACGTTTTTGGTGTCGATATTTTGGTTTTTGCATTTAAAAATGACGTCGACAACAGGTTTTATTCCGGTTAAGTGTAGTTTTAAAGGTGCCTTCAGTCTAAGAGAGAAAAATATAATATTAAATGTACACGATGCACTTGTACATCAACGCCCTTAAAGTAATGTTCGTTAACATGTGTTCAAATATGACAGGGGTTGGAGAAGCAACAATTTATAGATTCCTAAAAGAAAGAAAAGGAGGAACTGTTTCATCTCCCAAGAAGAGTGGAGGGAGTAAACCCTTGGAAATTGAAGAAATACATAAAAACATGATAAGACGCAGCGTCCACTCATTTTTTTTTTAACAAAGAATTTCCAACATTGGACAAAATCCAAACATTAATTAGAGAAAACGAAGAGTTACCAATCATAAGCAACAAGAAATTATGGGGACTATTGAGAGAGATGGGATTTCGTTGGCAAAAGAATAGAAGCAAATCCGTTTTAATTGAAAAAGATTACATTGTATGTTGGAGACGAGATTATCTAAGAACGTATTAAAAAGTACCGAGAAGAAGGGAAAACAATTTTTTATTTGGACGAGACTTGGCTAAATGAAGGTCATACTATACCATATCTATGAATTGATACAAATGTGAAAAGTTCCCGTCAGGCATTCATCGAAGGTGTATCTACTGGAATAAACAAGATTTCCGTTGTAAAAGGACGCAGACTCATAATAACCCAGATTGGAAACGAATACGGTTTTGTCAATGGTGGATTATTAAGTTTTGCCTCAAAATCAACCAAAGATTACCACGAGGAAATGACTGCTGACGTTTTTGAAGAATATTTTGAGCAAATGTTGGATTTAATTCCAAAAAATTCTATCATAGTTATGGATAATGCTAGTTGCCATTCAAGTTTAGCAGAAAAATTGCCAACAACGGCATGGAAGAAGGAGAGATAATCGAATGGTTGGATAAACACGCAATTTAGTACAAGGAGAAATCGACAAAAAAGGAATTATTACCTATTGTAAAGCAACATAAAGCAGCTTATAAAAAATATATAATTGATGAAATGGCATTAAACCGTGATGTAATTATTTTACGTTTAACCCCATACCACTGTGATCTGAATCCGATAGAAAATATATCGTCTCAAGTAAAGGGTGAAGTCGGACGCAACAACAAAACTTTTAAATTAGAAGACTTACAACAATTATTAGAACATTCTTTATCAAAAGTAACTCCAGAAAATTGGAAAAATGCTATTAGTCATGCTCACAAGGAAGAAAATAAAATGTGGAATTTGGATAATATGACTGATGCAATGCTGGAACCGGTAATAATTAACATCGGAGTTGAAGATTTCTTAGATTCTGAAGAAAGCAGTGAATCTGAAATGGAATTTGATTAAAATAATATTCATTTATTATTATTATTACATATATATATATATATATATATATATATATATATAATATATATATATATATATAACCAATAAAATAAACATCTTACATTTCTTGCAAATTCATTAGTGCCTGTTAATCTCCATCACTCCGACACTGGCAACTTTATTTAGGGATTAGTAACCCTCAAAACTATTGTGCTTCTGCTCTATTCTTCTGCTTCAACCTTTGTACCTGGTGGTCATACTCAATTTAAAATTGTTTTCCTATATACTTCTGTAAATTTGTTGACAAATATTTATTTTTCATTGAGTCACCCGTATCAACAGTTTTCATACATAATGTGCTATCAATATGATGGAAATGGACTATACCTTCTACGCTAAGGTTCTTCTAGAGGTCTGGATTAATTTGTGAAATTCTTCCAATCGTCATAGTCTTGAATTCGACGGCGCCGGCTTCGACTAATACCAAGCTGTGCTTTGTCTGTTTTTTTCTGGTGGGCCATTCGAGGATATTTTTTCAGGGGGTGCCTGCAAGAGTTCGTGCTATACATAATCTAGCAATCTCTTTCGTTGTCTTCTTCAATTGACTTACTCATCTTATCTACATTTTACGTCCAGTCTAATATTGGGTACAATTAGCTCTGTATTTGTACGAATATGCAACCAAGTACACCAATGCTAATGTTTTTATTACCCTATTTATCGAAAACCCACGCATACCAACCGTTACTTGCATACCAACTCTCATCATCCACTTTTACAAACTAATTCAGTCATTAATACCCTTACCTTTAGATCAATACGCCTTTGCGCTGATGCAAGTAGACCCGCTAAGCTCCTTTGTTTAAATCAACCCCTTATCCAAAACTATTATTGCGAAAATAGGAGCCTCCACAGACATCAATCTAGAGCCTCGTCATACGATAGCTTTTCTTCCTTACATCAAAGGTGTCACTGACAAAATCGACAAAATTCTTAAATCAAGAGGAATAAAGACAATATTTACCCCGCCTCCTCCAACAAAAACTTTCATCTCTTGTCCGATCAATCATAGAGTGCAGACTGCCCCAGATCTTATACAGGCCAAACAAATCGTACAATCCAAAATAGGATTTGTGAACATTCCTTTTCTGTTCGTAATTCAGATTCAGTGTTAGCTCTAGATCAACACCATCTTCATCTTTTTTAAGTGCTTAATTCCCTGCATAATCAGTTGGAGCAAGGTGTCTTTCCCTCCACGTGCAATCTGTCCGAGATAGTCTAATTTTCTTGTTTTAATTGTATTTAAAATTTTCATTTCTTTATTCATCCTTCTCAGAACCTTTTTGTTTGTGACGTGTTCTGTGCACGAGAGTTTCAGAATTCCTCTATACACCCACAACTCGAATGATTCCAGTTTTTTCATTAATGTTGAATTTAAGGTCCAAGATTTTATTCCATAAAATAAAGTCGAAAAAACTTAGCACCTCGCCAACCAACTCTTAGTTCCAGTTTTAAATCCCTGGTACATAGCATTCTTTTCATTTTGTTGAAGTTTGCTCTAGCCTTTTCTATTCTGATTTTGATTTCCTGAATGTAATCATTTGTGGAGTTAATCATTGTTCCCAGATATTCTGGTCACCAGTCTCTCAAGATCTTTAATGTTTCACCCTCAAGAGCGTTTTTCAGGATCTCTTCGGAGTAGGCGAAAATACGCCTGCTCCGAAGGAAAGGAATTGGCGACAATACGCATCCTGTTTCACTCCACATCTAATTTCAATTTTTTCTGACAACTGTTCGTTAACACGTCCTTTTGCTTGCTGTTTATAGTATAAATTTGATATGATTCTGAGGTCGTTGTAGTCAATCTTCTTTGATTTAGGACATTCATTAAGTGTTTATGTCATACTTTATCAAACGCTTTATTATAGTCAATAAAACATGAGTATATATCTTGATTGACATCCAACTATCTTTATACAGGTTACAAAATTTATTTTGGCCAACTTTTCTCAATAAAAGAGATAACGGCATACGGGTACCTTCGACATGGAGAAATCTTATAAAATATAGAAAATATCATCCGCTCCATCCGCTAATCAAAATCCTACTACTGCCTGAAACGTTTGCGCCAATTACCAAGCTAACACCCACACTAACCTCCACCTAAACCACGTCACCATCGACGGTATAGATGTCCTCTGTTCCCAGTAGCAGTAATGCATTGGTTAGTGATCAGTGTAGTAGTGTCGGGGGGCTAGGGAAACTGAGATCATGGAGGCCGCATGACGCGGTTCAACCAGGAAATATGTATGTCCAGTAAAAGTTGGACAAATATACAGGAATGTGCTAAGTCGTACAAGAACTTTCAAATACGATATTAAGTACTTGACATATGTCATTTATAATAATTTTACGAAATAGGATTGTTCAATATTTTAAACGCCTACATCACTATTATTAAACAAAAGCATTGTTCAGGTGACGTAGTTCAATTATTAAAAAAATAATAATTTTAAACTTTAAGGTGAGAGTTAAAAAATACTTGCCTGGAGACCATACATTACAAAAGTTGAAGATAAAGACACAGTTTAACCACAAACAGTTCTTTTTTATACTATGATAAAGACTTTACTTAGTAATATATTAGTTTACTCAGTGTGCATGCCGTATTAAAACCAAATAACAAACCCGAATAGAAGCTATAATTTATTTTTATGAACGAGAGAGTAATTAGCATAATTTTAACTGGTATCTCCGACCACTCCATGGGCGTGCTCACGATTAATTGAAAAATTACTTTGAATAATTGTAAAAAATAAATGAATTATTTCAGTGTTATAAAGTGTTATGTGTATGTAAACAAAAGTGACCTCTTTTATCACACACTATATTAGAACTGACTGGCCTACATTAAAAAGAGTTTTAAAAAATTCACATTTTTTTTAATTTTTAAAAATTACAAAAGAGAAAAAGAGTTTTTAAAACCGTCTAAGGTATGTAAAATAGATGAATAAAAATATTAATATAAAACTTACAGCTACTTGTTACGAATCCAAATCAGATTCAGAAGATGAACTTTCAGAACCAAGATTTATAATAACTGGCTTTAATTTTCTTTATGAAGGGCACACAACGAATAAAGTTCCTTTCTTATAGATCCGGGATGGTACGTAATATTTTTTGAACTCAGCCAATTCTGCAAGTCTTTTTTTAACCACTTGGTTGTGGGCAGTCCTTCTATAAGTCTGGAGTGATAACTTGCATTATCCATTACTATTACACAGTTCTTAGGAAGAAGATCTATCATTTGTTCGAACCATTCTTGAAAGACATCAGCGTTCATGTCTTCATGGTAGTCACCGGTACGAGTTGATTCAAAAGTTAATAAACCACCTTCAACAAAACCGTCTGAACTGCCAATGTGTACTATTATCAGCCTGCGTCCCTTTCCTGATGGTGGGTTTAAACCAGTAGATAAGTTATTTACAAAAGCGTGCCTTTGACTTGTAACAGTTTCATCCTGCCAAAAATTATTTGGTGTATGACCCTCGTTGATCCATGTTTCATCAAGATAAAATATTTTTCTTTTTTGGTTTCTCATTTCCTTTATGGTTCTTAGAAAATGTCTTCTCCATATGACAATATCGCTTCTTTCTAATAAAATAGACTTTCTGGGATTTTTTTTCAGCGGAAGCCTATTTCTTTTAAAAGTTTCCATAACGTACTTCGACTCATTTCTGGGTAATCATTATCATCTCGAACTGAGACAAGAACTTTATCCAATGTTGGAAATTCTTGTCTAAAGAAGAATTCATGCACTTTCCGTCGAAGTCCTTCTTTAAAATGATATTCTGTTTGAAATTTTGGTTTCCCTGGAGAATTACGTGGCATTTGAAAACTACCACATTTCTCTTCTTTAATAACTCTGTAAATCGTAGATATTCCAACACCAAGCGTACTGCTAACTAACTCAACGGTCTCATCAACACTTTCACATAAACGTTTGTCTGTAAATGATTTAAAACGATTAAATATTAATGTTTTTTCATTAACTGTTAAAGGACCAATTTTTCGGCGTTTACACGGCACTTCCAAATTTTCAATAACACTAGTATACACAATAAACTGCACCTTGCAACTGAAGTACCTACTTTTAGTGAACTGTTAAGAATTATGAATACGCCACTTAGACCTTCCTACAAAATGGAAAAACCCACTATCACATTTTCTGTGGATTAAGTTTAGAAGGTAATTATCTAGTCAATTACTGTCGTAGATTCCTGGAATTAAAGAATTAAATGTTTGATTGTTGAAACCCTTACTTCGTGGAATGCACTCATTTCAGATAAAATAAAAACGTTTTATTTTATCTAAAGAATTAAACTTTATTTTGCAAATAGGTAGGTACTTATTAAACTTTTATTGGTTATATATAACCAATAAAATAAACATCAATAAACAATAAACATACATAATTTATTGTTTTATTACTCTCTCATACATAAAAATACACTATAACATCTTCTAAGGGAGCTTCTAAATTGAAATCAAAATGAAGTCCACAAATGTTTATGTTTATACTAAAATCCATTTTAAAGCCAAGCTTTGAATATATTAAATTCACTGTTATTGTAGAGGTTCATCGTACAAAAAAAGGATATCAAAATAATTCAAATGGCACGAAGTTCATTCAAATGTTTTATTTTTCTTGACAAAAAGAGGTTAGAAAATTAGACAGGTAATATTAAACGTCTTTTATTTACAATAATATATTATTGATCTATTCTTTTAAATAGGGTAAAATATTTTCTTCGAACCACGCCCATTTGAATCTCAGATGTTCACCTTCGACTTGGAGCAAATGCAGCTTTTTTGATGCGTATAATGTTCCTAACCCCAACCGATCCTAAAACATAAAATATAAATTTAAAATATTCCGATTACATATTTAAAATTACTACTATTAGGATATTACTAAATGAACGTACTAGCAGCTCCTCGGAACTATATAAAAATAAAAATAAAAATGAGTCGAGTGGTGTAAAAAATATTATCCTGAAAAATGGATATCCAATTAAAAAAATAAGAAACTGAGCTAAACACAGATGAGCTGTATGTCGATAGTTCTTCCATCGAGCAATAAGACAAAAGAGGGAATGTAAAGGTAGTGGGGGTAAACATATTGATAGACAGGAAGTGCCATCTTGAGAGGCCACTTTAGACAAGGATAGACAGTCTCTTTCCTTGTTTAAGAAGTCAAATTTAGTTAGGTTATGTTATTGTTTGTCCCAACTGTCACATGAAATTTTATTTATATTGAAATCTTTTACCAATTGTGTCACTTTTTAGACTATTATAGTTAATATTTAATTAAAACTTTCTCGTCTGAAAAATATTTTATAGCTATTGTTAATAAGTGTTGGAAAATTTAAATTTAGCGCCTTTGCATTTCCGGATATGTCCGCCATCAGAGGCCACTTTTTGGTCTCCTTTTCATAACGATTAGATTCCCTCTTTTATCTTTTTGCTCGATGGGTTCTTCACACTGATCCTTAACCCTATCCCTGGTAAACCGATAGAAAATAACATCTTAATTCCAAATAGGACAAACACGCCTTGGAAGACACCGATTTTTCTCTTGTAATACCTATTGCATCAATATTCTGTTTAATCTCTCACTTATTTCGATTATATACTCCATTATACACACATTATTCTATGCCATATACGTATATAAAATAATGTCTATGTTCCACAAATATATTTGCCAGTTGGCTACTTTTGACTTCTGTCATGTCATTTTTATTTCAATATAGAAGGGGAATCCTTTTTATCTTTCGTCTATTTAAGCTGAATTCTTTGCTCGTAAATTCATTTAGATATTTAAATCTCTTCATTGGGGTAAGTTGATTTCTTTTTATTTAATATTTAATATCCAGTGTCTTTTTTTGATAATCATTTAAATTCCTTTTGTTTTATACATAACCTAATATCTTAATCGTGCTTTATTACCAACCTTTAAATACGCATATGCATGAATGGCCTTTATTTAAATCATTTTAACGAATTTATTTAATAATAATTATCATTTATCAGCTATGTCCTTTCAAAAAAAAAATGTATGGCAAGAAAATCTTTAAAACGTATGCAGTTGCCAACACAAGATTTCTCATTTTAGCTTTTTTTGCCATAATAAAATTTTCTTGCCCCTCTTGTTAGGTGGAACTTCCTGAAGCCTCGTGGTGCACCACACATGGGATAATAACTGCAGCAACATAGCAGATACCATTCAAAGCTCAATATCTGCTTGAAACTACAACGGGTTTAATCCTCGGGATCTTCACCGACTTGAAATATACTTGAAATCTAACTTGAAAGCAAGTTATCCTGTCATCTACATGAAGCCATAAGCATCAATTTCAATTCCAATTTTGTTTTTGTAAAACTACAGGTAAGGTTCACTTTGTTGATATTAGAATTTCAAATATAAATATAATTAGTTAATATCCTGTTTTCTTTGTCACAGCCAACCTTATTTTTCAGATTAACATTTAAGATAATATGGTCTCCATCGAGCAAAAAGACAATAGAGGGAATGTAAAGGTAGTGGGGGCAAACATATTGTTAGATAGGAAGTGCGATCTTTAGAGGCCACATTAAACAAGGAAAGAGAGTCTCTCTCCTTGTTTGACATCAAATTTAGTTGGGTTATGTTATTGTTTGTCCCAAATGTCACATGAAATCTTATTTATATTGAAGTTTTTTAACAATTGTGTCGCATTTTAGACTCTTATCATTAATAATTAATTAAAACTTTCTCGTCTAAGACACATTCTGAAAAATATTATATAGCTACTGTTGATAAGTGTCGGAAAATTTAAATTTGGCGCATTCGCATTTCCGGATATGTCCGCCATCAGAGGCCACTTTTTTGGTCTCCTTTTCATAAGGATTAGATTCCCTCTTTTGTCTTATTGCTCGATGATGGTCTTACACTTGAGAGACTGGGCTAGACCAAGCCTTAACAATTGGCCCCCGAAGAAAGTTTAGAGTTTTATTGTTACAAATATATACCACGCAAACCTTGGCTCCATAAGGGACATATTGTACACCTAAAGACTCACAAGTTAAGGTACTGTATAACGCTATATACATTGGTCAATTTTACAGTAACTCTAGCACTCAGGAAAACCAGGTCTTCTCTTCAGAAAACCAATTAACATTTATATAATAACAATAATAATAATTTTATATAATAATAAAGTTTTATAAAGGCTTTTGTTAAGGCATGTCACGTTATATAAATGATTTACATTAGTTTTGGGTATTAATTCGCATAATAATTAACTTACTTCTGTATAGAGAGGCGATTCTAACAAAGGCAAAATTTCTTCAGCTTGTCCTGGTTTGTAAAATCCGAACCACTCACTTTCCACAGGCTCTACCATGGTATCATTTAAAAATTTCACGAGAACCAAGTTTTCTAAGGACTTGATTCTTTCACTGTATTCTGCGTTGATCGTGTTTTCGTTGTTAATATCAGCCAAAAAGGTACTTTTTTCTTTGTAAAGGTTTTCGTCCAGTGGGTCATGCCAGTAGGTGGCTTGTACCAAATCTTTTTGTACGAAGCTACAAAAAGCATTTGAATTAGAATAATTTTATAAAGACAGTAATTAATATATAAAGTATATATAAAGTAACAATAATAAAGTAAAACGTAATTAATCCAGAACCCATTTAAGACAGAATCCTGTATTGTATATTGCATACATTAAGTATATAATATCTAATAATTTTGTATACATTATGCATAATGTATATTGCATACATTTTGGTGCTTATTCGCATACAAGTGATACCGTAAAGTGAAGCATATGATTCGCTTTATTAATAATTTGAAGTTGATACTAATTTTATAAATGTTAACTTACTCCTCATATGCAGCTCCATTTAACAACTGTCTTATATAATCACATAAAACTTCCGATATAATAGCACATCTAGGAAGGCCATAAACACCTTGATGTTGACCACCCAAGGAGATTAAATTTAGAACTTTTACTTTTGGACATCTTTGTACCAAAGCTCTCCTAAAATAAGAATACAATAAGTGAAACAGTTTAAATAACTAATTTTTTTTAATATAATATAAATATTGTTTATTACAAAATTTACATAAATTAATAAAAGGTTTTCATTAGGTCGTCAAAATATTTTTAACTTTTAAAAGCACATAAAATGCTTTGGTCATTTGTGAATAAATACCTGAATAAATTAGGGGATTACAAAATAGAATAAGAGATACATTTAAAAAGATAATTCAAAATAATTGCTTTATTTCCAAAATAATAAAATATTAACAAATGGAATCATTTACCAATTGTTTCATGACTGCTACTTGAACTACTATCATCGCTAATATTTAAATATATCTAAGTACAGGTATCTGATATTGTTTCCTTTCGTTTATCATTCTTGTAAAGAGTCTTCCGATGACCGAGTTAGGTTAGAATCTACTTCCGATAGACCCATCGAGCAAAAAGACAAAAGAGGGAATGTAAAGGTAGTGGGGGCAAAAATATTGTTAGACAGGAAGTGCCATCTTGAGAGGCCACATTAAACAAGGAAAGAGAGTCTGTTTCCTTATTTAAGAAATCAAATTTAGTTGGGTTATGTTATTGCTGATACTATTGTTTATCCCAAATGTCACATAAAAAATTATTTGTATTATTTTCTATTGAAGTTTTTTAACAATTGTTTCACATTTTAGACTATTATCTTTATTATTTTTTTTTTATTGAGTTTAATGCGTCGACAACTAATGGTCATTAGCATGGTACAGTAAACTTTTACAGTCTGAGATTCGAACTCACGACCTTTAGGTTTGAAGGTAGGCGCTCTTACCACTGAGCCACAGAGGGGGTTTCTTTATTATTTAATTAAAACTTTATTGTGTTCTAGTGTTAAAAAAAGTATTTTAAATGTATTATGTATTAATACTATGTAATATTAATATTATAGGGCCCGCGTAGCGCAAGCGGTAGTGTGCTTGCCTCGCATGCCGGTGGTCGTGAGTTCGAATCCTACCGCCGGCAAGAACAACTAGGCATTTTTAAAAATGTCTATAGGCCCCAGGTCGACTCAGCCTGAATAAAATGAGTACCTTGGGTAAAACCAGGGTAATAATAGGCGGTTGAAGCGTAGCACTGGCCATGTTACCTTCCTTGTATACCGTAGGCCCTAGATATAGCAGACTACCCTGCTATACTCCCAAAGCCGCGTGCGGTATAAAACGGGAGACTATTATTATTAATATTAATATTATACAATATAAAATAAATAAATAGATAAATTAGAACCCCAGCACCACTGTATGATTATTGTGAAGTGTCATGAAATTTAAATTTGGCGCATTCGCATTTCCGGATGTGTCCGCCATCAGAGGCCACTTTTTCAGTCTCCTTTTCATAACGATTAGATTCCCTCTTTTGTCTTTTTGCTCGATGGATAGACCTTTTCATTATGTGACGGGCGCATGCGCAGCCGCCATGTTTTTCATACAATTTAGATCAATGTAACATATATTATTATGTCCATCGAGCCAAAAGACAAAAGAGGGAATCTAATCGTTATGAAAAGGAGACCAAAAAAGTGGCCTCTGATGGCGGACATATCCGGAAATGCAAAGGCGCTAAATTTAAATTTTTCGACACTTATTAACAATAGCTATAAAATATTTTTTAGACGAGAAAGTTTTAATTAAATATTAACGATAATAGTCTAAAATGTGACACAAATGGTTAGAAACTTCAATTTAAATAAAATTTCATGTGACAGTTGGGACAAACAATAACATAACCAAACTAAATTTGATTTTATAAACAAGGAAAGAGACTGTCTTTCCTTGTTTAAAGTGGCCTCTCAAGATCGCACTTCCTGTCTAACAATATTTTTGTCCCCACTACCTTTACATTCTCTCTTTTGTCTTTTTGCTCGATGATTATGTCATACATCATTGGTTTTTATCGAAAATAGCTACGAACGTAGTAATTGCACAATTAAATAATGTATTAGAAAAAAATCGTTGAAGATTATTCATTTAAATGAAATCGTAGGCTTCCACGGCCAGAGTCAGAATTATAGTTTATTCGTCTTCCGGGTTTGGACCGTGTCATTTGTGAGTGACCCAGAAGTGGGTTCATCTCGACGTTTCGCTACAATTGTATGTAGCTTCTTCAGGAGAACAAAAAAGGAAGAAGAAAGAAAGAAGAAAACAAAAGAACAGGAAGATGGGTAGTTAGCAACGGTAACTCAGTTACTCAACGCAACCAGAGGCGAATACTAACTACCAAGATGGGCATTTGGTCACAGTAACTCAACTACTCAACGCAGCCAGAGGTGAAAACCAAATGCCAGGACAGGGATTCACGTCCAACAGCTCAGAACACTAACGCGTCGAGAGGCGGGGAGTGAATCCGACGATTACTCCGCTACCGCTCTATTTATAGTCGCGGTGCCTGTCGTGTCGGGACGTATCGGCACACTTCGTGGCGCGAACGTCAAGAAGCGCGCGCTGGTCAATCATGTGGCTGCATCGCGGGACCGGACGGCGGTTCTAGACTGAGATTCCAGATGGGAGACAAGTAGTATCCTTCCTCTCGATTGATATTATGGGGATTTTTTCGGATCTCTAGAGATTCGCGGATTTTCCTGGAATAAAAGAAGGGGCTTTTAGAAATAATATGGGTTTTTTTTCGAACAATATGGAATGACCGGTTTCTTGGCAGTGTTCTGCAACTGCAGAATGGGAGAAAAGACCTGATCGAATGCATCTTTGATGCTCTTGAATCCGAGTTTTGACGGAACGACCAGTTTCGCCAATATACACATGTCCACATGAACAAGGAATAGAATAGACACCACAGGAAGATAGGGGCGGTAATGGGTCCTTAGGAGAGGGTAGATATTGTGAGATTCTCTTGGGTGGTCGAAAAGTAGTCCTGATATCTTCTTTGCGAAGAATTTTGCCAATCCTATCAGTGACATTTCGAATATACGGAAGAAAAGCCACAGGAGTATTACTCGAAGATTCTGAATTTGTCGTCTTAGGGTGTGAAGGGGGATGTAGATGTCGACATCTGACATGTCTGACATTTTCATGGAAGCCTTTGAGTCCTTAGCCCTAGAATCTTACCCCTTAAAACCAAAAGTCTGGTTCCGCTACGTTGATGATACATTTATCATCTGGCCCCATGGTCAACATACCCTTTCTCCCTTCCTAGATCATCTTAACTCACAACATCCGAGTATAAAATTCACAATGGAAGTAGAAAATAATCGGTCCCTTCCCTTTCTCGATGTGTTAGTCACCTCCAAGCCCAATGGCCGATTGGGTCACTCTGTTTATAGAAAAAAGACTCACACGAATCGTTACCTACATGCTTCATCACACCACCATCCTGCCCAAAAGAATTCTGTGATCAACTCTCTCATCCATCGGGCCATTTCGATTTCTGAACCCGACAACCTTAGAGAAGAACTTGGCCATCTGCAAAAAACCCTTGTCGCCAACGGTTACTCCAAGTCCACAATTCAAAATATTACACACCGACATCTACATCCCCCTTCACACCCTAAGACGACAAATTCAGAATCTTCGAGTAATACTCCTGTGGCTTTTCTTCCGTATATTCGAAATGTCACTGATAGGATTGGCAAAATTCTTCGCAAAGAAGATATCAGGACTACTTTTCGACCACCCAAGAGAATCTCACAATATCTACCCTCTCCTAAGGACCCATTACCGCCCCTATCTTCCTGTGGTGTCTATTCTATTCCTTGTTCATGTGGACATGTGTATATTGGCGAAACTGGTCGTTCCGTCAAAACTCGGATTCAAGAGCATCAAAGATGCATTCGATCAGGTCTTTTCTCCCATTCTGCAGTTGCAGAACACTGCAAAGAAACCGGTCATTCCATATTGTTCGAAAAAAACCCATATTATTTCTAAAAGCCCTTCTTTTATTCCAGGAAAATCCGCGAATCTCTAGAGATCCGAAAAAATCCCCATAATATCAATCGAGACGAAGGATACTACTTGTCTCCCATCTGGAATCTCAGTCTAGAACCGCCGTCCGGTCCCGCGATGCAGCCACATGATTGGCCAGCGCGCGCTTCTTGACGTTCGCGCCACGAAGTGTGCCGATACGTCCCGACACGACAGGCACCGCGACTATAAATAGAGCGGTAGCGGAGTAATCGTCGGATTCACTCCCCGCCTCTCGACGCGTTAGTGTTCTGAGCTGTTGGACGTGAATCCCTGTCCTGGCATTTGGTTTTCACCTCTGGCTGCGTTGAGTAGTTGAGTTACTGTGACCAAATGCCCATCTTGGTAGTTAGTATTCGCCTCTGGTTGCGTTGAGTAACTGAGTTACCGTTGCTAACTACCCATCTTCCTGTTCTTTTGTTTTCTTCTTTCTTTCTTCTTCCTTTTTTGTTCTCCTGAAGAAGCTACATACAATTGTAGCGAAACGTCGAGATGAACCCACTTCTGGGTCACTCACAAATGACACGGTCCAAACCCGGAAGACGAATAAACTATAATTATTCATTTACTTATAAGTGCGTTGAAGCCCATAATGTTACTCAATTAAAAAGGTGGCTCAAATGTCATGAACGTCCACAAAAAGGAAAAAGAGGTGAGCTAATTAAGAAGCTAGGTATCATTACTTATTTATTATACAAATAATATAATTTTCTCTTCTAATTAATGATGTCAATCGATTTTCGTGACCTGGCGAAATATATTAATTAACAAAAAAATTATATTATTATAGTGTATAATCGTTAGACAAGGAAATGGAGAGGACGAGTAACACTCATTTAATAAACCTTCGAAAAGTGAAGCCAGTTTCGATGTCACCGCCATGTTTTGGTGCCTGTACGTTGCGCATTACTACCTCTTGCAGGGTTACCTCGTCTACTGATTTTTCGGTAGATTACTGATTTCATTTTCAATTTGGTGTCGGTTTGGCTTCAGTCAAATAAATACAATTACGCGTCCCCTCTCTTTTCTTGTCTTCTGCTCTTCTACACATCGGCAAACGCGTCTGCAGACGACATCTCCGTGTGCATCTGGAGATGTGTAGATGGGGTAATTTGATCATCTGTTGTTTATATATCACGTCCGCAGATGCGTCTGCAAGATATCCGATTGTTGTCGGTTTTTTTTAGCACAGATCAAATGGTTTCGGTGCGGACAACACCGAATGTACAAGAATGTGTACATGCTTGTACAGAATTTGTTGTGTGTCCAGAATATGTGTGGTCAGCTTGTGATTATACATCTGGAGATGCGTCCGGAGACGCGTCAGCTGATTTGTAGTAAAGGCATAAGCTTTTACTAAATCACATGGATCTACATACATAGCGTACAACAACACAGCAAATGATAAAATTGTTTAATCAAAATAGGTATTTTGTTTGGGTAACGTTGAGTTTAAATGTAATTTTTAGTTAAGTATCTTCATAAATTTGTTGTATAATTAAGAAAAAAAGGTAAGCATATTGTTAATATTAGCACGAATAGCTTTCAATAAACTACGACTTACAGAAATTGACCTCCTTGTGAAAACCCAATGGCATTGAAACCACTCGCAAGTTCAGGATCCGAACCTAGTTTTTCGCATACTTCATCAATTTGTTGGTCAGGATGTCTAAAAAATCCATTTAAGACATCTTCAATAAGATTGTTTCCAATCTGAATTGAGTGAATGTACGTACCCCCAAGAGTACTATTAAGTTTTTCGGAAAAAGCTCCCAAACTAAAGGAGAAACAACAACTGTCACCTAAAAATAAATATTTATAAAATTTAGTATTTTCAAAATTATGGGTTTGAGTCATTTGAAATTTCCCAACATTAACAAAAGTTACCCTTTTTAGGTAATTTTATCAATAAAATGAAGTAGAAGGTATTTGAAATGTAAACATATCCTTTATATACTTAGAGGGGTTCAGGGGGGAGATTTCTGAATGTTTAGAAACAAGTACGAGCCGAGGGATTGAAGGAAGTGATCAGTATTAGTTCAAAATCCAACATTGGATGAGCTCTAGGCTCCACTCGCCCCAGCGGCACTTCAGAAGGTTTGACACAGTCGGGATATTAATAAATTTACTCAGTTCGTGTCAATATTGTATCACCGAAAGTTTTATTAGCTTCATAAAGTTTAGTTTCATAAATCAGCTATCGTAAGCAAGTTATCGGCGTCCAAAATACGTTGTAAATGTTTAAATAGAATTGATAAAATGTTCTTTTCGAATCTTTCATTTGTGCCAGTTTTCTGGGTGGTCCTTCAAAGAAGTATGCAAAGTGAACCTATTTCCCTAAGGACAAAACTTGTTCCCCAATGGAAAAAACCAGCGACCTATGACTGGTGCGCGAAACAAAGGCATCAGGACAAGGTGTAAGGACAAACACACCTGCATCTTCGCTCACTGATGATGCAATAGTTATTACGAAAACGTTGGTGTAGCTCGATAGGATTTTTATTATTATACCTTTTGTAAAGGAATTTTTAAATAAATATTTTGTGATACAGGGTATACTTACAGCCAACTACAGGAATTTAGTTTCTTGTGGATTTTTGTTATGAAAACGATAAAATATATTGTTTATGGTACGGCCAGTTTTACATTTTTTATTTTAATTTTATTATACTTATGTACTTGGGATAAAAATAAAAAAATATTTTATCGCTTTCCCGGTCGGATTGCGTAAATAAGTTTTATTTTTAGAATATCAATGTTTTCAAATCATAGCTGAGTAGTCAGTCTATTACTATTTGTTTTCATTAGTGCATATATTTTTTACCTTACTTAAAGATTGGAACTGGTCCAGATGATTCAATAATTGATTTTCAGACAATCAGATAAAGATGAGTGAAATCTTTTTGCAAAATTGTTTTTCAGAAAGTTTCTGTCTGGCAATATACTTGTTTTTGTATTTGAAAATTTTGAAATTTTGCATTTGTAAGCGGAAAATAGAATAGATGTAGGCTAGACGATATGTATCATAGCCAATGAATTTATTATGCGTTAAACATATCGACAGTTCCATATAAATGGAATAATAACATTTGGACTATGCTGTAATATGTTTAGAGGCAATACACTTTTTAAGTTTTTACTTTTTATGCTAAGAATTACGCGGAGAACCTATTTAATGGCCAACGGGCAAATAATTATATGAACAACACGTAACAAATAAGTGATTCAAGGTAGATTTTTTATCTCCGTCGTAGCCAATCCCAAGCCCGGTTGGTAAAGGAGGAGGGTTAGGTTAGGCAGCTATTAATGATTTTAAGTTTGTTGTTTTCGATAACACAAAAGGATTAAATGTTTGACTTACATTTTAATAAGTTTTACTATGACTGCGATTTACATTCGGTTGACATATCCAATAAGTTCGTATTTTACTTGATGCATTTGTTTTCAACGATGACAAACTATTTTGCATTCCAAAGTATGATAAGATTTCTAAAATTATAGCAATTTTCCCCCAAGTCATATCGATTCGGATGCGTATTATGTGGTTTGTTTGATAAAATTATTTTTGTTCCAATTTGAACTTGTGACTAACCTCCAACATAAATAATTATTGTGTTTGTTAAGTTAGTCAAAATATTTACTAGTTGATATGCTATCGGTATCCTTTATCGTTTACTATTTTTTATATATTTATGTAAATCTTTTATTTGCTAAATCATATTTTGTCTTATGCAAATTATGATCAGATAAACGATTTTAAGCAGCAATATTAGACAAAATATACAGACAAAAACGATAAGTGCTGTGAATATACCTTTCCTTTAACATAAGACGAGAACCAAACTTCTGTAGTTGACTACGGAAGACTCGATATTGAAGAAATATTGTAGATAGCGAGTTACATAATTTATTTTATTTTGAGCACTTGTAACGAGTTCGTTACTTTAATAATCCGTAAACATTCTTAAATAAGATTTTAAAATCCCAATCCTCTTAATGATTTTCTGAATTTTAAAATTTAAGTTGGTATTAAACAGCGACACCTACGGCGTTGTGAGCCGACATGACCATCCGGCTAGTAATTAGCGCTCATTCTGGTTTTAAATTTTTCAGAAACAACTTCGTTTAATAGGGGAAAAGGGTAGGCGACAGAGGCCGGCTAAATTTTTTTAAAGAATATTAATTTTGTTGGGGAAGGAAGAATAAGAAGTTTGCAGTTGTTTTGTAGTGTAAAATCTGTTGTCCACTGGTTTATCAATTTTGGATTTAGTGCCCCATTCAACACTTAAATTGGTCTATATATATTTGGCATTTTTCTTATTGTTACTTTTTTGGATCAACTTTGGTAAGAACAACTTACCCAAAGATTAGACAGTGACGATAAAGATATAGACGAAATAGACAACATACAGCAACAATGATTACATCAGGAAAAGAAATAGCAAAGAAGGATCTAAAAAAGAACAACTATATATCAACAGAAACAAAGAAGCTTATGGATAAAAGAAGGAAGCTGAACGAAGAAGGCAAAAGGAAATCTGTAGAATATGTAGAAAATAATAAAACTATAAGCAGAATGATAAAATAAAATAAGAGAAAAGAACAAGAAATAAAAATAGAAAAAGTAATACAAAACAACAAAAATATGAAATGCTGAAGGCCGAAATTAGGTAAGTTTGAAATAAACAAAATAAAAGATGTAAATGGAATAGAAACAAACGTTAAAGATGACATCATAAATATAATCCACCATTTCTACTCAGAATTATACAAAACAAAAAAGGAACCACCAGAAGAAATTAAAAACCAACTTAAGGTCAAAATAAAAAATGTCAACTTAGAGCTGCAGCCCGAAATAAGCAAATCAGAAATAAAGAAGGCATTGACAGAAATGAAAAACAACAAATCGCCTGGAATAGATGGAATAACTGCAGAGATGCTGAAATATGGTGTAAAAGTGGTAATTAATACTCTACATTCCCTTTTAACAAGATATTAAAAGAAAAAAGAATCCCAAACAACTGGAAGGAATCAGTTAACCATTATCCTACACAAGAAAGGGGATAAAGTAGATATAAAAAAACTACCGTCCTATAACACTCCTCAATGTAATGTATAAACTCCTAACAACAATTTTAACCAATAGATTGACGACAAAATTCGATGAATACCAGTCGAAAGAACAAGCTGGTTTTAGAAAGGGATTCAGCACAAGTGACCATTTACTAAGTATGAAAATACTTATAGAACGAGCAAATGAATACCACATTCCTCTATATATGGCGTTCATAGATTTTGAAAAGGCTTTCGACAGTGTCGAACATAGGGCAGTGAAAAGTTCTTTGATTAACAGCCGAATTGACCACAGATATACGGAACTAATAACCAATATATATATATATATATATATATATATATATATAATATATATATATATTATATATATATATATATATATATAAGGAAGCCAAAACAACAATTAAAGTATATGAAGGAACAAAATCATTACAAATAAGTAGAGGCGTGAGACAGGGTGATACAATATCACTGAAACTTTTCAATCAGGCTCTTGAAGATACTTTTAAAAGATTAGAATGGGAAGAAAAAGGTATAAAAATTTGTGGACAACGCTTGAACCATCTAAGGTACGCTGATGACATCGTATTGATAACCGATAAAAAAGAAGAATTATTTGAAATGATGAAAGAACTGGACGTAGAAGCTGGAAAGATAGGCCTTAATATGAATTACAGCAAGACCGAAACTATAACAAATACAGATGAAGACATCATAATGAGAATCGGACAAGATGAAATAGAACAAGTTAAGGATTATATATATCTTGGTCAAACTATAAAACTTAACAAAGAGAACCAAACAGCAGAGATAAAGAGACGAGTTAGACTGGCATGGGCGGCATTTGGCAAACTAAGCTACATTCTTAAAAACAAAAGATATCTACAGCATCTTAAGACCAAAGTACTTACTTATGGTTCCCAAACGTGGACATCTACAAAAGCAAACATGGACAAAATCATAAAAAACCCAAAGAGCAATGGAAAGACAAATGTTGCACATAAGACTAATGGATAAAAAGAGAAACGAGTGAATAAGAGAGAAAACAAAAGTGAGGGATGTTAGACAAGAGGTTGCAAAATTGAAATGGAGATTTGCCGGACACAATATAAGACAAAAAGAAGACCGATGGAACAAAATTCTTATAAGTTGGAGACCGTGGGAATATAAACGAAGCAGAGGAAGGCCCCAAATGAGATGGGCAGATGATATCAAGAAGCACGTGAGGTCTAGATGGATGGCTGTAGCGACAAACAGAGAAGAATGGAAAAGGATTGGGGAGGCCTATGTCCAAAGATGGACCGAAGAAGGCTAATTGGATATATTAGACTTTTTTGGATTATCTGATTAATAGTAGAAAATTGATGACTCATTTGCCTGGTTGATTATATCTTTGGATATGTTATTCTATAAATCTGTTGTCCACTGATTGATCAATTTTGGATTTAGTGTCCAATTCAATACTTAAATTAGTATATAAGTTTGGAATATGTATATATGTTTAGCATTTAGATTGTTCGGAAGTTAGTTTAAGTTAGTGTATTTTAGCTACATTTAAAAGTATCTATTAAAAGTATCTATTATCTATTAAGACTATCTGTAAAAATATTCTGCCTTATACCGTTCTTTTATATTCAAAAATATATCCGTAGCAAGTGTTTCGCTAAAATTATCTATTTGATCAATTTATTTTACATCAAATATTGTCAGACCATGCGAAGGTCAC